TGCAGAAGTGTTCCAGCACGACCAGAAGCTACTGCCTACTGCTTTCAAGGCCTGCACGTCCGTGCAGAGCTCAGCACGTCCGTGCAGGATATTCAGCACGTCCGTGCCTGATCCTGCACGTCAGTGCAGTTTGCTCAGCCCAAATCAGTTTCAAAACTGATTCTTCTGAACAAGGCTTGCACGTCCGTGCCATATTTGGCACGTCCGTGCAGGATGCCCTGGCAAAAACAGTACCTTCTGCCTCCCAGGTGCACGTCCGTGCCAACCTCAGCACGTCCGTGCAGGTATAGTTGCACATCCGTGCCAACCTCAGCACATCCGTGCTGACCTATAGCCGTGCCCGACTCTTGTTTTCTCCGTCCTTTTTATTTGGGGGTCTTTATAAATAACCCCTTGAGCTCATTTGTACGGCAGCCAAGTTTTTAGTGCTTCCTCTTAATTTGCAATTGTAGAAACACAAATATTCTCAAATCATTAGTTAGATTATAATTATTAGCTTGGAAATTTCATTCTCAATGATTGTAGAAGACAAGTTCCACCATTGATATTCAAGTTGAAGCTTCTAGTAACATTTTCTCACTCTTCTCTTCCATTTTAATTGCTTTGATTGTTAATTATCTTGCTTAATTCTTGTATGCTTAGGTTGTTATTTAGCTTAATCTTTAGTTAATTCTTGTTCATGAATTACTTGAAATCTTTAATTTCTTTAATCTCCATGGATTGTGAGTAGTCTAATTTTCTAGGGTTTGGGTAAAACCCTCAATGTAGTCACTAATTACTTGTTGCATGTGTTAATTTGGTAATGTTGGGTGTTAATTAGTTGAGTTTAAGTGGTTTAATTGCTTAGTTCTTGTATATGGCAATTGTTAGAACTATTAGCTAAGCTTTCTCAACGAAGGATCGAGAGATGAATTTGAGTTAGCTCCCTTATGCTTAATTGACTTGAAATGCCATGAGAATAGGAATTTTCAGTCAAGGGAATTTTTTTGTCATCGTGATTATTCTTTAATACTTGTTTTATGCTTTGTAACCACGAGAGTAGGTTGTATTCATAATTCGAGTAATCCCTCTAGCTTGAGAGAGTAGTTGGGTGCTTTAGATGACTTCCCCTATATTATCCCCTCAAATTACCATTGTTTGCTACTTGCTAATTGTGATTTGTGACGAAATTGAGTGGTATATCCCAAGCCCTAGAACTCTATAAATATTGTTAAACTCCCCCTAGTTTTAGTTGACTCGAACCCAAGAATTACCCTAACCTGTGAAAACCCGAATTAAGACATATTGTTCACCTGACCCGAATGTAACCCGACCTAAACCCGACCCAAACTCGATAAGAAGTATGACCCAATGTGACCCAAATAAAGCATGACCCAACCCAAATTCGAACCGCATAGGTTATGGAATTAATACGAATTGACACGATCCGAGTTGTCCCGACCCACTCTTACCCGACCCGTTTACCCGAATTGACCGCTCTAGTTAAAAGTGTTATTTAATTTTACCATTGGTAGCACTGGGTATGGGTTCTAAAAAATTATTCATCACTATATTTATTGTCATTCCATTAGTAAGACTATTATCTATTAAAGTTTGTTAATTTGCAAGATACTACAAAGTATGAAATACTCCGTGGGAAACTAGTTTATTAAACGCGCTCTCACTCTCTTCTCTTGGACTCTTGGTCCCATACTCGAGTCCCATGCAAAAGATAGATTCTCTTATAAGTATGAAAACATCGTGTAAGGTATATATGTGTGGCCATCATAATTTACAATAAACATTTGTATTTTATATTTATTAACTAAAAAAAAAACATATTTGAATCATGGAGTATGAAAGAATACAAATATTTATTACTACAAAAATTGATTTTGAAAATTTATTGCTTGATTTAGAATCCTCGTTATCCTTTAAGAAAGATATACCAAGGAACCTTAATTCATGCATCAATTATTGCATACAAAATTGGGCATATATCCAACAAACTCACATGAGAAAGTATTGAAATACAATAGCAAGGTTTAATTATAGAAAGACAAACTCATCTTTCAAATTTAGACATGCCCATCACTTAATGTTTTGAATGTGAAGATGTCTCCAAACAATATATCCCTTTAATTAAAAACACTAATTATTGCATGATTTTGGTAGGAAACATTGTATGATGTGTTTAGTTATGCATAAATTATATATAGCATGAACAAAGACATAATATAGCCTTTCGGTTAGTTTGCTATAAAGTCAATTGTTACCAAAAATAAAGTAGTAGATCACGGTGAGATAGGATTCAACGTTCGTTGACACATGCATGTTAGTTTAGCTTTGATTTTGGGGCTTAACCTACACACTAATTAGTGGTATCATTTTAGTCCATAGTCACAAAGAGACATGTCTTTTCTAGTTACATAAGATTTTCTAGTTACATTATTTTTTTTTATAAGAGTATATTTTTTTGGTTAGTACGTATAAGGATGATCCCGTCATTTCGTCAGATTAAAACCTCTTACAAGTCTACCTGTTCCAAGTCAACCAACTAGGCCCTTTGGGAGGGTGAGGGCGAGGGGGGTAAGAGAGTCTTCACCAAGCTTTGCTTGGTTTTTCTGTTACATTATTATTGTATACAGAAAAGAGTGATACACATACCTTTTCCGCATGCTAGTAGTCTAGTACACTTTATACAAAAAGAGTGACACACATTTGTAGAGAATTCATACTTTAACTCTTAATTATGATTTTAAGAGGTTTGCCAATGTATATGAATTATTGAATGAATGTTTCTTTTTAAATCTCCTATTTGTATCCCCTTTTATTGGCCAACGTTTTTTTTTTCCCATTTCATTTATTTATTTATTTTGTTTTTGAAAGTAAAATACATTGGGAAGCTTAGGTACGTCTTCTCACAAGACCGTGACCTAAACTATCTAGGAGCAAAAAATAAGAAAATTTACTATCCAAAAAAGGATCTATATCCTGTTGAGTCGGAGTAGAGTAGCCGAGAGAGGCAACATAGTCTGCTGCCCGATTGTCTTCCCGATAGATATGTCTTGCCTGAAAATTCGTAAAAGAATCCAAAATGGCCTTGACATCCGCCATAAGAAGCTGAAGTTTCCAAGGGCAGCTGAAATGACCCTGCAAAATATTAATAACAGTAAGATTATCGCCTTCAATAAAAATATCAGAAATATGAAATTCCTTAGCAAGAAAGGAGGCCATTTCGAAGCGCAATGGCTTCGGCAAGGAAGGCCGGACAAGAACCTAAATTATAAGTTCGACTAGTAATATGATTTCCTAAGTGATCCCGAATGACCACACCTGCAGTAGCAGAATTCTGGTAGGAAGAACCATCAAAATTAAGTTTACAAAAACCGACAGGAGGTGGAGACAATGAGACAATAGGTGGAGTGGGAGGAGGAGGAGGCGGCGAAGGTGACACAGTCGGTAAGTGAATTGTGTCAAGAAGGGAGCGAGATTCTCATTCTTTAAACATTGAAAAAGCTCGAATAAAAATACTAGGAACAATAGTAGTAGAGTTCTTGAAAATAACTGCGTTACGATGTTTCCAAATACTCCAAAACAAGATAGCTATCTTAGGGAGGAGTTTAGGCATATTGAATTTAAGCGAGCGAAATAAATCATGGATCTGAGTAAATTGAGGGATACGACCAAGCCACTGAAGAACAGAAGAAGAAGACCAAAGAGCCATGGAAAAGGGACAAGAGAGGAAAAGATGATTTTGAGATTCAGAATGAGTAGAACACAGTGCACAATAACTAGGGACATTAATATTGCATGAAGATAAAGTATGACGAGTAGGAAGGCTGTTATGAAGGATTTGCCAAAGGAAAATATGGATTTTAGGTGGAATATCCAATTTCCAAATCCAACGAAATTCCCATTTAGAGGTAGGAAAGACATGAGAATGGGCTAGCCAAGTAGCGGATTTGACAGTGAACTGTCCATCTCTAGAAAGATCCCAACAAGGTTCATCTGAAACAGGGGAGGAGGGAAGGGGGATTCCTCTAATAGTTTGAACTATATTATTGGGAAGAACAGTAAGCAGAAGAGGGACATCCCAAGTATTATCATCAGTGATGAACATATCAACTGTCATATCAATATTCGCAATTTGATCGGGGTCCAAACCAAGAAGGGCAATAAGATTGGTGTGGACACACCAAATATCAACCCAAAAAAGGATGGAAGAACCATTCCTATACACTTATACATATATTTGTATATCTTGATAATTCTATCCATCCAATTTTAATTATAATATACATACACATGCAAATTTATCCAATATGAAGGCATATTATTGGTTAAGAAAAAAAATCTTCATTTATGATGATTTTAATATCATATCGTTGCATAAACTAAAAATCTGGCTAAATCATAGTGTTAGACATGGCATCAATTTGCAGGTTTAAGACTTCCTACGCATAATCTTCTTATTCGACCAAAGAATTACATACGGCGGCAAAAGTTGAATACATATGACTACTAAAGAAATGAGTCAAATACCATCTCGAATTCTCGATCTCAATGAGATAAGGAGCTTTAAAAAATATAAAATTATTTTATTATTTTATTATTGAGCTAATATTTAATGAAGATTCTATTTCAAGTAAATTTAATTTTTTTAATTTTTGGTTTGGAAAGGAAGAAAATGTAACAAATATTTTGCATTATTATGAGAATTTCGATTGTTTCCATAATTAAAATCATCATAAATGAAGATTTTTTTATTATGGAGTACAAAAAGTTATATATTGAGATTTGTTTCTAAAAGAAATTAGAAATCTATTAGTGATATTACCATACAGTAAAATAGAAACTAGAAAATAATATATTAAAATATTAAAAAAAATCATATTCTCGAAAACTACCTCCGTTAAATACTATCTGCAAGTTTGAGATATTATGTGTGAGATATAAAATATTTCAAACGGACGTAATATTTTATTTTTTTAGGAAATAACCTAGAGTTTTTTGTATTTTTGTTTTTTTTTTTTAAAAAACAAATAACCTAAAGAATTTAAAGAAGGTAAAAATATTAAAAATAGATTAGTACTCCATTTCTTGGAAAACAGGGGATAAAAATAAAAATAAAAAAGATTAGCATCCTTGGCAAAAGAGAATCCTAAAGAATACAGTACAAAAACAAAAAAGTGCACTCAAATCACTTCCCTACCTATTTAAGGCGCCAAGTTCTTAACTTTTTTTTCTAAGAGAAAGAGAAAGAAATCTCCCAAATAATAAATTCCCATAAAAATATAATAAAACCAAAACTCATTATATTGTGATGTACTCATGTAGGATTTTTCTGGGTTTGAGAGAAAAAAAGGAGAAGAAGAAAATAACAGTAATTAAAGTGTAATTATTAATTAAGAAAAAAAAAATGTTGAGTAAATTGTTATGGAAGAGATTAAATTGTGGTTCAGAAAAAGAAACAGAGCAAGAAGCTTCAAGTCATACTGGTTATGATCTAACGGCTGAGGTTTTGCCATCTCTTGGTGGTCGAAGCCATTGTCGTGTTAATCTCAGACGATATGTTATTTCTCCCTTTGATCGTCGTTACAGGTTTTATTCTTTTCATCTTATTATCTTAGTTACGTGTTTTTTTTTAATCCCCACCGTACTATATTATTAATATATTACGGAGTACTAGTTTCGAAGTTTATATTTCAACAACAAAAAAAATTACGTACCTCCAGTGGTTTCGAGAGCATGAAAATTGTAGTCATGTACTCGTGATTATGCATTGCCATTCAATTACACCATTAAACACGCTTAAGAATGCCGAAATTTTCTTAAAGTGCAAGTGATTGCAATGTGAACCAAGAAAATCAATTGTTAGAGGTTTATCATCTGTCATAGTTAGGGCATGTAACAAACTTTTTAACTTTATTTTCCGATTTCCTAGCAATGGGAACTCTAATTTTGTGTTTGCTTGTTGTTTTTTTTTTTTTTTTAAAGAAAATAATAAAGCTGGATTTTACCAATAAACCAACTAAATTAATTAATTATGCTAAAAGTGACAAATAAATTTTTTTTTTAATTTTGTCAAAAAGGGTGTTTTGCATTTTCTTGTGTGAAGAAGGAATAGCTATTGACCCACATAGAAGCTTAATAAATTAAAAAAAATAATTAAATTAATAAATAAATAAATTTGTGAACCATATTGCATGCAATGTGTTTGATAAAATGTCGCATTGAAATTTGAAAAGTTGGAAAAACTTGTCCAATGTGAATGTTTGTTGTTACTTTGTTTCATGATGTTTTGTTTGTTTTTTAAATTGGTGGATGAAACTGTAGCATTTCTTTGACAATTTAGGAATTTCATGAAAATTGTAGCAATGAATTTATATTAGGGGTCTTTTTAACAAAAAGTTGTCAAAATTAATCCTATTTGCATTTTAGGAAAAATAATTTTGGTGTAACTTTCACAAATGATCCTCTAGGGTCTGTTCACATTTAATGATTTGAGCTGAACTGGTTGAGCTGAATTAAAGTGAATAGAGCTGAAATGAATGTTTTATGAGAGAGAAAAATTAGGAGTTGAACTAATCTGAACTGAACTAATTGAAGTATAACTAAATTGAACTGAAATTAAGCTGAAAGTGATCAGGCCTTTAATCACCTATTTTGAGCTGTTCTAACAACCGATAAATTAGTCATTTTGTTTCAATATAAATATGAGTAAGACATATATATGAATTTGGAATTCTTTTTAAGAGAAAGGAACAAGCAAGTAATTGATGAGAATGCGATAGAGAATAGTTTGAACTAACCACAAGTTAGCAAAAGAGGGAATGTTGTACAGTTTGTAGTTGTTTTTGAGACATATAAGGAGCACCAAAAATGCAGTGTTTAGTTGAAACTCTATTTATAAAAGGAAGAAAGAAGTTAATGTAACCGCGTTATAAAATAATTTGAACAAAGACAAAAGTTACCTAAAGAGGGAACAATGTAAGTTTTAAGAGACGGACCAAAAAATTGTTGTACTCCGTAGTTTATATGAAATGACAGTGTATGTACTGTATTGCACACCGTATAGCAATGTAATTCAGAGTATTAGTGTTACATTACTTGTCTGATAATGTTATCTTTGTTAAAGGACCAGCTCAACCAGCTCAACCAAAAGGTTAAGCTGATGGTTGAGACTTCTAAATATGTTTTATGTTCTATTACTTCCCTTCACATGAAAGGCTATTTGGGCTTAAAATGTGGATGCAACACAGACCCTCTCATACCCAGCACGGATTAATTCCACTTTAAAGGAGGAGTGGATGAGATTCAAACCCGTGACCTCTATTTCACGTTGGCTCTTATACCATATTAAAGCACTAACTCAACCAAAAGGTTAAGCTGATGGTTGAGGCCATGAAATATGTTTTATACTCTATCAATCTTAGGTGAAAGTGACTGTGCAAGAACAAGGATCATAATGCTAGTATATGCCAATTGTTATTCAAGTTTCTCTAAATTATGCTAGTTTATGGTTTGTGATGATATGTATGTATTTGTGAAAATGTCACAAGTTTATTTTCAATTTTGTCAAAGTTTTCTTATTTGCCTGCAGGAAATGGGATTATTTTTTGGTAATTTTGGTGCTCTACACAGCTTGGATTTCTCCATTCGAGTTTGGTTTTCTTGACAAGCCTACGACGCCAATATCAATTGCTGATAATATTGTCAATGGGTTCTTTGGTCTAGACATCATCCTTACATTCTTTGTTGCATACCTTGATAAAACAACATACATGTTTGTTGATGATCGAAAATTAATAGCCAGGAAGTATGTTTTTAGCTTTAAGATGCCTCTCGATGTCATCTCCATTATCCCCTCTGAACTTATTCAGAAGATTTTACCTCCTTCTACACGAACTTATGGTGTGTTCAACATGTTCCGTCTATGGCGTTTAAGAAGAGTCAGTAGGCTCTTTTCCAGGTATACACTTCTTTCGAGTTTTTGAGCATATTAGAAAGATTTTTAAAGCTGTTTCAAACTGATATAGTCACAATGTTAACAGTCTGGAGAAAGATAGGCAATACAGCTACATTGTGATTCGATGTCTTAAGCTTATTCTTGTAAGTATCTTCTTGATTTATTGAAGGTTGTTTGTTTCTAATACTGTTTTATTTTGATTTAAAGGATTAATGTTTGTTGAATCTCTCATTTTTCTTTTATTTTCAGATAACCCTTTTTGCAGTGCATTGTGCTGGGTGTTTCTGTTATCATATTGCTGCACATCATCGCGATAAAAGGGCTACATGGATTGGATCAACCTTGGAAGATTTCCTTCAGTTCAGTTTGTGGACACGATATGTGATGTCGGTTTACTGGGCTATTACTACTATGTCGACTGTTGGATATGGTGATTTGCATCCTGTCAACAGAGATGAGATGCTTTTCGATGTTTTCTACATGCTATTCAACCTTGGACTCACTGCATATATAATAGGGAACATGACCAACTTGGTTGTCCATGGAAGTAGCCGAACTAGGAAATATGTAAGGCCATCTTTCGTTGTCTTATTATTGTCGAGTTAGGATAAAACTATAATGGTTGTCATAGGAAGAAAATCATTTTAATCCTCTAAGAAAACTATACAAAAAGTTTTGGAATGAGTAAAAGTGATTTAAAGAACAGACTTAATTGGTGTACATTTGCAGCCATCGAGTATTTAAGTAGTCTGTTTTCTTGTGTGATTCACTTGTTTTCTTGTGTTCTGTTTTTAAACAGAGGGATACCATTCAAGCAGCTTCGAGTTTTGCACAAAGGCACCAACTTCCTCAACATTTGCAGGAACAGATGCTTGCACATATCACATTGAAACATCGAACAGATACCGAGGGACTGCAGCAACAACAGATAATCGATTCCTTACCTAAAGCAATCAGATCAAATATTTCAGAACACCTTTTCTACTCTTTAGTAGAAAACGTGTATTTGTTTCGTAATGTGTCCAAAGACCTCCTCTTTCAGCTGGTATCCTCACTAAATCTTGCAAATAATAACTGAATAATATATTTCTTATGTTCTTTGATCAACTTGATTTCCTTGTATGAAGGTGTCTGAGATGAAAGCAGAATACTTTGCTCCAAAGGAAGATGTCATCCTCCAAAATGAAGCGCCGACTGACTTCTACATCGTTGTAAATGGCTCATTGGTAAACTTGCAGAACCAAATTAAAGCCTTTTCATAGATAGCAGAAAATGTTGCAGTTTTCCTGATCTAATGATATTTATTTTATGACTTCAGGAGCTTATCCGGCCCAATAATGATGGAGTATATCAGGCAAGTTATTTTAATATGATACTTCCTGTGTGCCTTAAACTTCAAATTAGACATGCATGAGGATTGTTTTTTACAGTATATGTATCTTCTTTCTGTTTATTTGCACATTTCAGGTTATTGGAGAGTTGAACAAGGGTGATATATGTGGTGAAGTCGCTGTACTTTGCTATAGGCCTCAACTGTATACAGTGAGAACCAGGAGGCTCTGTCAGTTGTTACGGATAAATCGTACAAATTTCTTGAACATTGTGCAGTCCAATGTAGGAGATGGGAACATAATCATGAATAATCTCTTACAGGTACTCTGCATGATAAATTAAAGTCTTTATTATCAGAGACTGTTATTGTTTGTGTGGTAAATCAAAGTCTTTATTATCAGAGGCTGTTATTGTTTGTGAGAGTCAAATTTATATTTTCTTGGGCAGCATCTGAAAGAGCAGGAGCACAAGAATGACAACACCGCAAAGGAAAGTATGGCGGAGATAGAGAAGATGATGGGTCATGGTAGGCTTGATCTACCGATAAGCCTATGTTTTGCTGCTGCAAGAGGGGATGGTCATTTGATGCATAGGTTGCTGAAACAAGGACGCGATCCCAATGAAACAGACGAATGTGGAAGGACAGCTCTTGTATGTTGTTCATTATTTCAAGAGTTAAATAATAGCTTGTATTAGTATTCATGTATTCTCATTTCTAATTACTTATGTTTGTATTTTTTGGCCTTAAAACTGCAGCACATTGCAGCGTCGAATGGAAGTGAAAAATGTGTGTATCTACTGCTAGACTATGGTGCTGATCCTGATTGCAAAGGTACATATCATTAGCTCTGAAATTCTAATTACAGATCATGAGCAATCAACTTGTCTAACATCTTTTTCGAAATGTTTTCGTTTCTGTTTGAGCACAGATCAAGATGGAAACATACCATTATGGAATGCAATGCAGGGTGGTCATGAGGCAGTGGTGAAACTTCTAACAAGTCATGATGCTAACATTTGTGCTGGCGACGTTGGTCAGTATGCTTGTATAGCTACCGAGCAAGACAACCTTGACCTCCTCAAAAAAATAGTGGACTATGGTGGTGATGTAACATTCCCAGCAGTCACTTCTACTGCCTTTCCTCAAGGTGAGATCTCTGCTTCAAAGTTCACAGGAAAGACGGCCCTGCACGTGGCAGTTAGCGAAGATAACATCAAGATCGTCGAGTATCTGCTTGATCAAGGGGCGCACATTGAATTGCCAGACATCAGTGGGTGGACTCCAAGAGCCCTTGCTGAACAGCAGGGTCATGAGCAAATATCAGCCCTATTCCAAGCCAAGCTAGGATCTAAGCCTCAAATCGTGTTCCAAGTTCCTGATGAGCATAGAAACAAAGTGCGTTTCCTAGGGAGGTATACTAATGCACCAAATTTAATTCAAGAACACCATCACTTCTCCGAAGATGGATCAGCATCAGTAGGATCAGGGATGAGGCCAAGGAGGAAGGCTAATAACTTTCGTAACTCAATATTTGGGGTCATATCAGCTGCTCAAAGCGGACAGAGTGATCTGTTTCCTGGCATAGGCCATGAATATTTTAGTAGAAAGGTCGACGTTGATCACCAGGAGAACCATGTCGCTTCTAGAGTGACCATAAGTTGTGAGCAAGAAGGAAAAGTCAGGAAGGTGCTTGTTTTATTACCAAATAGCTTTGAGGAGTTATTGAATGTGATAGCTAAAAAGTTTGGTATTTTGTTTTTGAGAGTTGAAACTGATAATGGTGCCGAAATTGATTGTATTGAGGTAATTAGAGATGGAGATCACCTTGTTGCCATCAAAGATGACACAAATATGTAAAAATGTAGAGTTTCAGAATATGGGGGTTTGATTCTAAACCTTCTCCCCTTAATATATATCACAAGTACTTACAGTTTTTTTTTTCCCCCTAATCTAGTCCTTTGGTAGAAATTGCTGTATTACAGTTTACAAGTTTTTCTGAGGATAAAAATAGTTACAGCTTACATTTTGATGATAAAAGTGTATACTACCTTTGTTTCACATTTTTCTTGTAGTAGACATATTGATTGCAGATGTTTACAATTGTTCATTCTTGAAGGCTTTATGAAAGAATCTAAAAGGGACATAATCTATGGAACGAACCATGACCCAAATTAGTAAATTACCAGATGGAACATTCAGTGGACAACTATTGCAATGATTTTCAGTGGACAACTATTGAAGAGCCTAGAGCTAGTTGACATCCACCAATCGCGGAACCCCTGAAGTTTTTGGTCATCAAGTCTGTTGTCCTTAAGGTATCAATGTCTCGATACTCTGTATATAAGCCATGCTCCTCTGCTGTCTGAGCTGTATTTTACAATAGGTATAAGCAGCTTTCCACTGCGAAACGATTCGTATAATTTTGGATACATTCTTCAAGTCAAGACGCTTATGTTGGATATCACTAAGTTTAATGTGGTAAGTATAAACTCTTACTAGCTAGTTTTTTTTTTCTTATTTTTTCTAAGCTGCATTTATGTAAATCTTTGTGTTTTTTTTTATCTAGGATTGCATTGAACGAAAGTATCCTATTGATGTTCCACAACTAGCAAAGCTTGAGCAGTTGGAAGTGAATATAAAGGCACCTATAGAACGCGATTCCTGTCTTCTTTGGCCGGTTCTTCTGATCAAGGCAGCTCCCTCCTTGCATAGATTTTCAATTAAGGTATTGATGTATCTGTTTTAGTATATGAATTAATTGAGCTATGACTTTAGGCCACTTTATTTGTTTTAGGCATGGCCCTGTTCAGTTCACCTTACAAAAATAATTTCATTTCAGTAAAATTAATTTCAGTTCTTAAAAAATAAGTTGAAGTGAACGAAGCCTTATAAGCCTATTATGAAAGTTATTTTGTAAGATTATGCAGGTTGTATCTTACTCTTAATCATCAAACATTGAATCAAAAACGTTATATAGTGTATTATGTTTGTGATGTTGATTTTGTTTCGCTTAATGGTAGATAATGAATTCACAAGATTCAATCACATTGATTCGCTTGTGGAAGCTGCTAATAAGAAATATAAGGTTTGTCATCATTTCCTCAGCTTTGTATTAATAGATTGCTATCAAGGGTATATTTTCATAGTAAATTTTTGCCTTTTTAGTGGACGAAGTGGATGTCTTTGTATCAGGCAAAGGTCGAACAGCATTACAGTGAGATAAGGCTTGCAGCGAAGCAATTTCATCACCATCAATGCTTGAAGCTGGTTGAGATGCAAGGCTTTCGTGGCCGGCCTTGCGAGTTGGAGCTCGCTGAGTGCTTGCTTGGTGCGTCTGCATCATTGGAGAAGATTGTTATAGCAACAAACCTTTCGAATGAAAAATGTGGGAAATGTGGAGACGATATCAAGGCAAAAAATGTGAAGAAGGGTTGTAGAGAGTTTGGAGAGGGTCTAGTGAAGCTCACTGGTTGGATACCCAAAGGTGTTGATTTGGTGGTGGCGTAATTTATGTGAACATTTAAATCATATGATCGGAACTCACTCATTAGAGTACATAATGTAATATATGTTTAATACACATTCATGTTTCATTTAATTTAATTTCGTGTATAATATAATTAAGAGTCCATTATTTGTTTTGAGGAAATTAAACTTCGAGAAAGTTATTTTTCATTGGAAAACATATTTCAAAAGAGAATGCAATTGTATACTACAAGTCTACAACCCACGCCAAGAAGATTTACTTCTTTTTCCTCTCTGTTGTTGGTGGTCATTGGTGGACATGTTCAATGTTTAGCTACAACTATACGTAGTATAAATAAAGGCCAATGTTATCTAATTGACCCAATATGAATATGGGGCTTGAAAATTGAAAATAGTATCAAAAAAGCCCAACTAAATGTCTAAATATGAATCAATTAATTCTTCAATCAATCATGCTAAATTAACTTCTTTTTTTTCCTGTGATCATAATTAGGCAAGCATAAAGAACTTTTCTTTGTATACTTATACACTTGTACTTGGGTTAAGGTAGCGAGTAGCTGACAATCAACTGTCTAAGTAAACGGTTGATAGTATGAGTGTTTGGCAAAAGTAGCGGTTGTAATACTAAAGTATATCAAAATTTATATAAATATTATTTAAAAAGTAGTAAAAAATTGTCAAACGCTACCCGCTACTTCTAAACGCTACTATTTTTTATGTTTGAGAATAGCTATCTAAACACTAACTCTATTGCTAACCGCTACTAGAATCGCTACCTTGCCAAACACTTTCAAATTTTTTCTAATAGTGTTTTGACTGGTCAAAACGCTAACCGCTACCTCAAACGCTACCACCAAATAGGGCCTTAGTTACTGTTTAGAATTACCGGTTGAGAAATTTTAGTCGGTTGACAATTTTTTCCTAAAGTTACCAAGTACGGAGTATAACTTACACATCCCTATTTCCTAGCTTAGCTACCCAAATATTAATGTCTTTATTTGTCATTTTACAAGTTCAATCAACAAAATAACTACAAGTAATCAACTCATTTTAGCAAGCAGTTTTATACAAACAACTAATATAATCAGTAAATCAATACATTTAATAAAACTAGCTAGTCTAATCAACTAAAGCAATCAACTCTTAACTTTTAACAACCAACTATCCACTAATTACTAAACAGAGTTGATATGTGGTCACACACTATATATGTTACCAACAGCTTGATTTACTAAGTACATTAATAGACGTCTCAATTTTTAAACATTATAACTTGCTAGATCGATCAATAGAAAAAATTACTTCAATGGTTATGAGTTACGTTCTCCAACAGAAACCTTTAATGAAAGTTCAATCTTTACGTGTTTTTTACGTGATTTCTTAAGTTCTAACAGCATATAGGAATACTTTTAAAATTTGTCGTTAAAATATTGTTCCATGTGAACCTAATACATAAAGCACGGTTCCTATAAAGGTGCTTGGGATGGGAATTTTCGCAATGGGCAGCTGCAAAGAAGGAGCTTATGGCCTGGCCTTGAAAGAGACTAATGATAAGTGGGTTTGTGTCCTTATATGGATATCTAGATCGTCTTGATTTCCTTCCAATACCTCCAAAAATCATACAACTATATTCCTAATTTCCTCTTCTAATTCTAACACAAGAATTTATTTTCTGACAATTAAAAACGTGACTAGCATAAGCATATGCCTCTTTCATCCAGTTTCTTGGAGAATTGTAGGAAACCACCTTTTTGAAACCAAAATTTAAAAAAAAAAATTAAAAAAATAAAAAAAAAAATCTAAAATTAGACCCTTCCAATTGTGTTAACTTGACCCGTATTTTGTTGTAGTCATGCATGTGGGCTTCTAACTTCAAAGAGTTCGTTCGATTTGGATTTGGAAACCTAAGGCTTAATGGTTGTTCCAAGGATATGCTTTGTGTACGTATACATTGAATAGGAATATCCATTGCATTGGCCATACTAGTCCATTTTAGGTTTTGTAAACCATTACCACTTGTAATTAGATCCTTAATTCCTGTAATATATAGAGAAATAAATATCTTTCAATGGAGACGATGTAGTTAAGGGTGACAATATCTCACAATTCACATTATTATTAGTTAGCATTTGTTAGAATACTTCGAAATAACAATTGATGAACATTATTATAAAAATATAATCTGCAGTAATATTCATTTTAGGAAAAATTCATGGGAATAATCCCACCTTTTACCCGTTCGTTTTTAATAATCCCACCTTTCAATTATTTTTCAATAATCCCACCTTTAGGTAACTTTTATTTTTATTGGACCCATCTAACTTGAAACCGGCTAACAAGGTAAGCAATTGTGACGTGTACTTGGGTAGTCTGATTTCCCCCCTAAAACATGCCATGTCATCTCTCTCTCCTTCCAACTACCCACGTTAATGTCTGTAGAATTCCTCCCTCCCTCATTACTCACTTGAACAGAGGCTCTGTAAAAAATCTCATCCGCCATAATTGAAGCTTCAACAACTTGAGTACGGTGCCATTAATTGTGAAGCTTCCATCGTTGGTAAAAATTGAATAGCGAAGAACCCCATTTTAGGTAAGTTTTTCGAACCCTGATTTCCGCCTGAAAATTTGCTAAATTTCGAAGTAAATGTCGAACCTTAACCCGAAATTGATGATTTTTCTATATGATTGCAATGTATTTGATACTTATTGTTGCGAATTGTTGTTTATTTGTGTTATGTTGTGATTTTTTTGTCGGTTTATGTGATTTGATTTCGAAACCTAAATGCTAGGTTTTTGTTGTGCTATACTGTTGGTTTTTGTTGAATGTTAATTGTGTTATAGTTGCTGTGAACTTAGGTATGGGTTGTAGTAAAATAACCTTGAAAATGTGGCATGGAGGGGTGTTTTAGCAGCGTGGTAATGGATTGTTGTGTTATATGAATGGGCAAAACAGAACCTTTAATGTAGACCCTGATGAACTATGCTCTTTTTATCTTGTGGAGTTGGTTATGAAGTGTGCTAGATATGATGGTAGAATTCAGGGGTTTTTATACTTAGTTCCTGGACTGAGTATGGAGGATGGGTTGAGGAGGGTCACAGATGATGACAGTATGAGGGAAATGATAAGGGTAGCAGAGAAGCATAGGGGGGTGGAGGTTTATGCTATGCACTGTGAAAATGACCCAATTCTCTTTCCCAAAGAACTACAACCTGCCTCCTCAAAACAGAAGACCCAACCCAAATCTGTGAGAGCCAAAAAAATTCCACTAAAGAGGGGACCACCTTCCCAAAAAGCCCTTGTTGAAACTTCCCATAAAGCCCTTGACAGCTCACTAAAGCCAACAGAAAATGCTCCCACTGAACTTATTACCATTCCACCAACCATTTCCCCATCTAACAAAAGTACATGTAGAATAAAATATGTTATAAACCCTAATAGAACACCTGAAATAGCTC